CAAAAAAAAAACAAAAGACACAAACAACCAAGCAAGTACTGTGTTATCAGGCCTGGGGCATTAAAAGGAAGTCTTGAGTAATAGTAAAAAGGAGGCAAAAGAGGGAGCTGGAAGCACTAGGACACACCACGGAGGAGAGGGCTGTTACCTTGGAAGTAGTCACACTTGCCATCCATGAAGATGTAGTTCATGAGGACCACACTGAACATGCTGGCATAGACGTGGAGGTCACTGAAGACTAGTATGAAACCAGTGGGCTGTGGGAGGGCAGAGAGCAGTTAGTCTCCTTGGCTGCCAGCAATGGTGTGCTCAGCAAGGATAAAACAAGTCAGCATCACCGTGAGTTCAGAAGAACAAACCCAGCCCATCTCTGTTCTCTGTCCAGGGGGACTCCCCACCCATGGCAAGTGGAAGATGACAGATGAGCACAGCTGGGCACAAATGGGAGGAGATCTCCAACCCAAACCCCTCAGTGTTCGACATGAGCTCCTGCAGCCTTGTTTCTTCTGCCTCAAGGAGGCCAAGGAAGAGACTTTTTCCACCCCAATTCAGAGGAAGGAGGTGCCTGCAGCTACAAGCATCACCCATCTGCATTTTAGGTGTGAGGCCCTTTAAAACAATTTGAGGGCATTAAAGTTAGCAAGTCCTCCAGTTGGGTTGTCCAGATAGACAGTTGTGTGGAGAGACTGGAGAGCAGCGGTCATCCCTCCAAACAGAGGTGTTAGTGGGGAGCCCCACCTTGCTCACCTGCTGCTCTACAAGAGAGCATGCAGCCCAGTACTTGTCTAAGCACTCTGCTAGTGCTGGTAAAAACCACCACTGGCCAGTTGTCCCATGGGCACCTAACAGCCTCAGGGGATTTGCTCCCAGGCTCCATGGCCTGTGCAGAGCAGGTGGCACCACGAATCAGTCCAGTGTCCTGCTCTGGCTCCAGCTTCATGACTCACATAGAAGATTGTGAAGAGCACCAGGATGGGGATCTGGAGCATGCAGACCTGGACAGCGATGCAGTTCCCGATCTCGATGCTAGGCAGAGCAGAGATCAGAGCAGATGGTCACTACATGGATGTACACAAAAGTCTGCACACACCCCTTACCTTCCCCCCCCCCCCCCACACTGTTGGACTAGGGTGCTGGCATTTCACTGGTCTATAGTACAGACCAGCTTTGGGTCACAAACTGCCTAAACCAAATGAAACAATGGCTGTGGAGAGGGAGAGAAAAGGAGGGCCCAAATCCACAAAGCTTCATTCCCTTCCTGTATACGACAGCACAAGGGTTTGACAGAGCCCAGCAGCAGGAGATTGCACTTGTCCTGTTCCCTGGATGCTGTAGCTGCCACATCTCTGGGTACAGGACCAAATCAAACAGGCTCCTTAGCCATGCAAGTGCTGAACTCTGAGCACCTTCCTCCCACCAAGGGTAAGTGCCCAAAGATGCCCCCCCCCCCCCACGGGGCTCTGCAAATGGGCCAGGAAATGCTCCAGCCA